GAACCTCAACCGATGCGATCCTTTTCCGACGGTCCGATTCACCAGCTCAGGCAACCCCCACACCTCAAGTGAGAATCCTGTATTCGGATGTTGAAGGTGAAATCCCTGCTGCAAATTCACCCAAATTTCATCAAATTGATAAATCTTGAAAACTTATATTCCGATGTTGAAGGTGGAAAGTGGGTTGTGGGTTGAGAATGCCTATTGTTTCTTTGCGAGGTTACTGACTTTAGGAAGACGATGATAATTTCCCTTTTCTTTTTTTTTTTTTTTTTTTTTGTTTTTTTTAATAATTTATTTATATTTAATATATAGCAGTTAAGTGGATTGACGAATTTACCCCCATAAATCTCACGTGAAACGCACATTATTGAACATTCCGTTCAAAATTGCCGGAAAATTGAGTTTAGGGGGCACCGTGCAACAAAAAACGTAGTTTAGGTAAAAACGTGCAAAAAAATTTTGTTTGGGGGGTAAAGTGCAAAACGGCCCTTAATTTAGGGGGCAAACTGCTTTTTACTCTATAAAATATATAATACAATCATTTAAAATAAATCGGATTTATTTTTGAAAAGTAAAATGGAATAAGAATTGAAATCCTATGTATGCCAATTTCGATAAATCTAACAATAATATATATATATATATATATATATATATATATATCAACTCTGGTGTATTATTGTTATTTATTACTGAGTTGCATACTTGCATTCAATGAGTTAATGAAATAATGAATGTTAAAATAGTGCCAGATAAAGAATACTTAAAGTTGACTTTGACAAAATTGGGTGGCGACAAGTTGACTAGCTGTATTAGATATTACAGGTTTTAAATTAAACTTAATGAAATAAAACTAATTACTGGTTTAATAAAAAATCAAATGTCACAAAAAATAACCTTGGGAAAATTGCACATGCTTTACAATGATCAATCCCTTTCTACGCGACAAACTCTTCTCATCTTCTTCTGATCTTTAGATCAAATTGGGGTTACATTATTATTGTCAAAATCTCAAATAATATTTGAGGTTAAAAAAAAAATCCAAATTGAATATATATGGAATTTTTTGAAGGAAAATCAAAATTGGATTTAAAATCAGAAGTCTCGAATTTTTTTTATACATAATATAAAGTCCTTTCCAACAAAATTCAGAAAAATCCAAATGAACAAGTTATTACGAAGATATAAACTATCGCGTAGAATTATAAAATAATCCCTTCAAATAAGACACTAGTCCGACCATCGGTTTCTCGGGCCGAAACCACCAGGTCCGATTTGAAGTTGAACATATGCGGCCAATACCAATACCAATTCCAATACACTGTATAGTAAATCGGACTACAACCGCAAGTTAACTTTATCTTTTGATATTTTTAATGAAAAAAAAATCAAATAACTGAGCTCGCAATTCAACTCGCATTGGTTTGAACCAACGCGTCGAACCACCGGTTCACAACCGTGGTTTAAATCATTTGATTTATTTAATAACTGACCCATGGATCATAACCGAATTTTGTTAGTCACGTCCTACATTAGAACCCCAATAAATTAATATTCGATAAATTAACAACCTCGATTAAATAATAGTTTTTCTGATAAATTATTAACTCGATAATTTAACAATTCGCTAAATTAATAGAATTTCCCTAGTCTCGACTGTATTAATTTATCGAGGTTTAACTGTAGTTCCTACTAACTAACTATATCATGAAATAACTAAGTAAGTAACTAATCAAATAAGAGAGTATATTGATATAGTAATATTTGGAGATTTACCTTAATATGCATGCGTGTTCATCTTTAATTAATCCAGATCTGGGAAAAATATGTGCGCCCACATATTTTTAGCATGCATACAAAATACCGACACCACCATCTTTCTTTTTCTTCTTTCCCTTTCCATTTCCCTTTCTTAAGCAATCTCATAAATATATCATGACTAAAAAAATAACTTATAAAACAAAAACAAAAACAAATAAATAAAATATGACAAATTTTGCTCCAAAGTAGAAAAGAAAATCGGATTAAGATTGAAAGAATTCAAAAAAAAAAAAAAAAAAAAAAAATCTTTTCATTTCCAGCTCTAATAAAAAAATATGGGTAAATAACATTTATAACCCCTATGGTTTGACATTTGTGCACATGACTCCCTTGTATTTTCAATATAGCACATGACCCCATTGTATTTTAGTATACGCATCTAAACCCCTTGTACTTTCAAAAATTCCTCTTCCTAGAGCATGATTATTTATCAAGTGAATTACCATAGGGGGGTTATGTGCTTATGTGAACAAAGTTCAAACTACAGGGGTTCATGTGCACAAAAGCTCAAACCACAGGGGGTTAAGTGTTATACCCAAAAAATATGATAAAAGATAAATAATAACTTAATATTATAAAATAGTTTTTTAAATAAAATTACTGGATTGAAAATCAAATTTCTTATACAATCAAAAAAAAAATTAACAAATCAAAATTCCAAAAATCAGAACGAATATTTTTGAAACTTCCCTTCCAATTTCCACCCTTGGGCCAGAATATAATATTCTCTAGGTACTTTTGCATGCAACAATTTGAACAAGTTCTCTTAAATTCAAACTAGTTATTGCAGCAAGCCAACGATGCAAAACACAAAATGCGCAACGGGGAAGTGGACTAAATTCAGCTCAAATTTCAAATTTCTTCGTTCAGAGAAATATAATAATACGATGATCATAAAAGAGATACTAAATCATAAACACATAAAGGCATTGTAAAATATAGAATGAACAAGTCCTAGAAGAAATTGGACATGCATGCACCATAAGAGAAGGGCTTAAAGGTCATTTTTATGCAAGAAAAAAGTAGAGTAAAGATCAGAATGCACTACTCGTTAACCGAAAACAACAAAATCGAAAACCGAGATGTTTCAACATGCTGTTTCATTTGGTATGCATAGCAGAAAAAAGAACAAAAAAGTAGCACTGTATTAGCTTAGCTAATCCTGAAACTATAGATCCAGTAAATTTGGTTTTTTAAGATATATATATATATATATATCATATAATTACAAGTTTCAGTATTAGCAAGCAAAAATGGCTTACATTTAGATGTATGTCTCCAGGGGGATGCATGTCAGGAAAAATTCTAATATAGACAATTCTGCAAAGGGTCTCTCCACAATTTCTCAAATTCCCACTCTGTTTCGATCTAAGACACGTTTTCTGCTGAAGCAATACCAGGGCCAATTCTCTATGCACCAAAGCTCATGACCTGAAAACAGTTAGAACATGAAAAAACAAGAAACGGTCCATTCAATTATAAGAAAAGTACGAAGTTTGACATAATTGATGTTTTTGGTGAAGTAGTGTCTTAAAAACGACATTTATGTGTATATATAAGCCTTTGACATATAAAATATTGAAAAGATGTATTTAGATGACACTAAATATACGAGGGTCCACATGTTTTACATGTGAAAAGAAGTGTGAGAAGAATAAAACTCTCCACTTGAACAAACGATATCCATCGCTATCTTAGACTGAGATTATTCTCCAAATTTCACCATTTTTAACTCTTAATTCCAATAGTCTCACTCACATTTTAATTCTACGACAGACCTTTTCCACCAAATCATTGTACATCATCATTGAGTAAGACTCCACTACATTGAACTGATTTCGCTTAAAAGGATGTGTAGATGATGAACTTTTTCGGAATGGCTGGCATAACTGAAATAAAGAAAGACCAAAAACTCACCATGGATCCTATACGTCTCGGAATAAGTTTACGATGGTCTCCAATTGATGGCAGGCATGTCTGGTCTGCCAGGCATCATCTGAATACCATGAACTGTGGAAAAAGATAGCCCAAAAGTTGGATCAAACACGAATCCCAATGCTAGTGGTAATCAAAGTCATGGATAACAAGCAGTTCATCTGCACCAGAAAGTCACCTGAAACTGGAGCGGTTGGCAGATTATTTGCTGCAGGAGGCTGAAAATTAATCCCATTTGTGGGAGGCCTTTCGAGAGGTGGCGCAAAATAACCTATTACAGAATTACAAATGCTCATGAGAATGGTTGTCCCTCCTTAAAACTTTAATTATATGTAGCTTTAGAAACAAGATCAAATTCGAAACCATTGATCACTGATAAAAGTTAATGCCACCAAAGTTCTATGACGGTTTTAGAGACTCTAGAAAAGAAAAAAAAAAAAACCAATGTAGCCTGGAGGCCCGGCTCTAAAATAGAGACTATACAATTCTCTGAATATCTTCCTAAATGTAGGATTATGTTTGTAGACTCTAGATTTAAAGTGGTCTCAAACTAAATTAATAAAAAAAAAATCTGTTGCTTTAAACCCTGTAAAACAATTAAAAAATATAAAAAAATCAGTTTTTATTTTTTATCTTAGTCGAAGAAAATATTAAAATATTAAGATAACGCAAATAACAAATAACAATCGAAAAGCGAAACAGCCATACATAAAAATAACTTATAATATACAGAAAATTAATTTTATAGAGACCTTCATTGGTGATGACTTTTTTCTAGAGACTCCATTGAGGATTGCCCTTATAAGTTATAATAATACAATCAAGTGCTTGAACAGTATAAGTGTTAATTAAAAATATCCATTAATATATGGCAAGAATAATTAAATTGAGATATACTGCTGAGATAGTCAAGACAAATTATCAAGCAAACTTAGATTAGAAATATGACGTTACTGGAAATTTGGTTGTGAATACTTGAAAACAAGGGAACTTTCTAAAACTCAATGAAGGGAACTATCAATCCATGATTTGAAGGAAATACTATAAGAATTAATCATATACTGGTTGTCTTCTACAGTACAACAACATATTTTGGTTCACACTTCACTAAAAAATCTTAGCAAATAAGCCAGTATATAGTGGCCCCAAGTGAGGTGGATTAATACTTATGATTCATACATATTTATCAACACGTGGAAGACCTACTGTAGTTCTTTGGAAGGAAAGCTTTTCAGTAGATAATATAATGCCGAGCTTTGGAGTCCCTGTATTCTTGTAAGCATTTCATATACTCTTCTTAATATTGCAATGCAAGCTATCTAAACAAATAAGATGTTCTGAAACTCTTTGACAATGACGTTCAATTTAACAAAATGTTGGTAAGATGACTCACTCACAGATACGACAGTTCATATAATCATATTGCGGATGCACCAACAGCAATGTGTACCTTCATGTGAATAAGGTGGAACTGGACATGATTTCCCTCCAGTCATCCACCCCATGCGAGGACCGTCAGCATTGAACTCATTCACTTCCATCCGCCGTTGCTTATCAGTAGCATATCTCCTTGGACCGTCAGAAACATTTGGCAATGGATAAGGGGGATACTGATGTTGCTGGACTGAGTTTGGATAGGAGAAATGATTAGGCATTCCTTGAGGGGGTTCAGGATGCAGAGGTCTTTGTGAAAAAGGTGCACCACCAGGCCTTAATGGTTGCCTCTGCTGCGAAGCTTGAGGATTTATATATGTTTCGCCTTGTCCATACTCCACCATTCTTGTTGCATTATAGACAACATGTTCACGTGCATTGCTGGCAGGAGCTGGAGAAAAGAAAGATTGCTGCGGAAATACTTCGCTTCTGACAGGTGCATCCATACGAGGCACATGAGTACTGGAAACCATATGGACATGTTGATTTACCTGGAAGCACAAGAGGTAACATTCTTCACACTCATGCAGTAGTTGTATCAACATAAACTAATAAACATGCATGATTGTTAAGCCTGAAGACTTACACTGTGGCTACCACCAATTTCATGAGGTAAAGGAGGTGGGTGAGCTAATGGTTGAGAAGTTGAAACTGTGGATGGAAGTGGAGGCATGTATTGGGACATCAATGCAGGCTGAGGTGGCAATGATTGCTGGGAAAGAAATGGAAGGGGGGCAAAAGGAGGTGGAGGATATATATGTTGCTGTGAGGAAGGTGGAGGTGGGGGTGGTGGGGGTGGCGGAGATGGAGATGATAAGGGTGGGGGTGGAGGAGGTGGGAGTGATGGAGGCGGTGAATCGGGTAGAGGTGGGGTTACAGGAGGAGAGCCAGGTGGTAATGGTGGAGAACCCTCAGGAGACGGCGTCAACTCAAATATGTTTGAAGCTGATTCAAAGATCCCATCTGAACTTGGCTCAATTGAAGCAACCTCAGAAGTGCCATTGGCAAACAATGGTCTTTCATCCTTTTGGTGTCCAGAAACATCTTCCATTTCGAGCTCACCGTCAACATCCTCTAATATGCAGTGGCGTCGGTCACTTGGAGTAACAGCATAGGTCTCAGGCTCCCTGCTTGCAGGGGTATGCTCGGACGGTGATGTAACTGCAACTTCCTTGAATAGCTTTATCCCAAAATTATCTTCATCTTCATCTTCTTCAAACAAATGAGATGACAGAAATCCAGGAATCTGAAATGAAGCATTGCTGAAACAAATAAAGAGAAAAGATACATTAGATCAAACAAAACATTCTAGAATTTAGAGTAAACCTAGATGATTTATGATCACGCAAACCACAAACTAACTACATGTGCATGCCTTCATACCCTTCACATGAACCAGTCCCCACAAAGTTGTAAGCAATATACTTCACTTCTAGAGAATCACATTTATGTGTGATAAATTAATATGATTAGGACTTTATATATCTGGAAACTAGAACAATCAGGGAAATGCAGATCAGAAGCAATGCCATCAATATTGACTAGTCCCAAACAAAATCCCAAAAAAAAAAAAAAAAAAAAAAAAAAAAACTAATACAGGACATTAACACGGCGCAGTAACGCTTAAATGAAGGATGGGATAGTAAGAAGTTTTTACGCCATTTTCAACACCAAGAGCTCCCTTTTTCTTGTTTAGTTTCAATATTTAGTGGGTGCAAGTTTTGGGAAAAACTTTGATGGTTTTGTTGTTAAGTGGAGCTTACAATCTCCCAAGTGCTACGTAAATGATCTAACATCATTAACTCAACATAAATTATCTTCAAACTGGAAGCAAATTGGCCAATGTAAATTATGGTAGAGAACATGCCTAGCGATCAAGGTATTTTGACCAACCACAATTGTGATATAATACTTCGCTGGTTACTGGCAATAATAATAAAGAAATAGAAAAATGAACAAACACCACATAAAAAAAAGCATCTCATGCAAAAGGCATATTTTGGAGAGATCAAATAAAAAAGAGTAAGTTCCTGACCTCCCGTACTCATCCACAAGCATGCCGTCCATTTCTCTGATAGGATCATCAATAGCCCTCTCAGCACGGGAAGGACGCCTTTGGGAAATCACAGCAGAAGTATCATTATTCACTACTCCCATCTCATCCACATACCGGCGAAGAACATGTTCTGGAAAGATTTTTCTCTCAAGCCACAACCTCAAGACCTAGGAAAAAAATATTGTAAATTGGTTAAGCAGCAATAATTCTATAGAGTCACTTTCACATACTTTATAGTCACCTTATGACATTGACGGCGATTTTCCTGAGCACTTGTCCCAGGCGGAGCAGCAGCACCAATAAGACGGGGCAAAGCTGCTTGAACTATGGGAATATAAGATACCCCTGCAATTCCTGAAGTATATATTTCAAGGAATCAGAAGATACCTCAACAAACAGATAAAGGGAAGGAGGGATCTTGTTTGCGTAACAAAATAAAGACAGCAACAGGAGAAGAAAGGATTAAGCTAAGATATACTAATGAAATGATGATTTTCAAGATTTCAAACACATCATATATATATATATATATATATATATATATATATATATATATATATATATATATATATATATATATAGACGGATAGAGAGAGAGGTCTTCTTTTTTAATACTAACATCGTAGAGGTTATTTTGCACAATAGTATTATCATTCACAATTTCCATACCTTTCTGACTATGAGAGCACTGTGTTATAGAGTCAACAAGGAAAAACAGGTCCACTTTGCGATGAAAACTTGGTTCACTTTCCAACTTCTGGATTAAGAGTTCCACAACCTGCAATCAGGGTCGAATGCTGTCAGATTCTCTAAGAGGAAGGATATATTTCAGATGCTCATTCTGAGAAACAAAAGATGGTGATAAAATAATAGCAACATACACAAGGAAATCTGGAAGCAATCTTTGTTAAAAGTGAGACGATCCACATTGACTCGTGGAGACTAAGATGTTGAGCCAATCACTTATTACCAGTGGAGGCTAATCGTTTGTGCGCGCTACTTTTAGATTTTGAAGAAACATCAGTTCCTCATAGCGAAAGCTTTGGTAATAAAAAAAGGTTGTATAGACCTTACAGTATTAAGTTCCGGATTGCTTCTAATATCTGACAACACTAAAAATCACAATACACACCAAATAAGGTTTTCAACCATTTCTAGATGCAATGAATTAATTGTAGCAACCTAAGCACTATATTGTTGATCCTACATTAATTATGAGTCATGAAATAAAAAGCTAAAACCAATAACCATAGCCTAAGGAAGAACAATTCAGATTTCCGGAAGCAATTAATCCATCTCTCTACTCCCTTTCTCAGATCCCTGAAATTGCAACACCCTAATACTCACAAAACCGCACAAGAAAATACACTAGATTTACTTGGTATACCGATGACCCTAACCAGCTTGTGAATATGCTTTGTGGTGCATAACAAGAAACTTAACCTGAGAAACGACTCGAATTAGAAGAATTGCTGGAAAAAGATTGTTAGGTACCAATTACCTACCTCATTGGCAATCCCATACTTTGCACAATCAATTGCAAGACGAGTTGCACGGCCAATACTCTCCTTGGTCCTTGAAAGAGTTTCTATCATCCCTTCAAAGGAATCACGAGCAACAGCTGCGTCAGTACCCGCACTTAGAGAACTTCCGGTGGCCTGACGACCCGAACTAGCCCTCCTCTCCTCAAGATCTTCATTCTCATGTTCATTGATAGATGGAAAAGGGCGAATATCAGAGAAAGGGGAAGTGGGATGTAATCCTTGTACATCCAGTTGAAATGCATGGCTTGATTCAACTGCTAGTGTAACCGGGATAGTGTTTGGGCTCCGTTCTAGCATGTCACCATCAGGAGCCAATAGGGGAAGAGTAATTCCATAAGATTTATGCAAGTGTGCTTGTCTCTTTCTTGCCTGAGCAGCAGCAATAAGATGTTTCATAGACGTTACAGAGTCCGAAATTTTTATATCAACCGGAACACTTATTTTGGTGTCTTTACCAACGTCCAGCCTGACAAAGAAAGAATGGAGATTAAGCAAGAATAACGAAAAATAACTTCAATAACTTATCTCCTATTTATCAATAATTTCTAATTACCTTTGACCAAGTAAGTTAATGCTTTCATCCAGATTTCCAGCCAAAAGAACAGAATCATTGATCTGGGAGTCTGACTTTGGAGTACTTCTCCATTTCTCCACGGAGGAAGTTGGCTTACTTCTTTCAGTTAGCGGAGGATTAAGGCATGGAGTTGACCTATCAGAAGCTGCATCTAGGTTCCTGTTGGCTACTGGCTGAACTTTCTTCTGAGAAATACTACTAGGTGCTTTGCTGAACTGCTTCTTCTGTGGTTCTGATAATGATCTCGTAGCAGAACTAGATATAGGGGACCTTTTAGGCGAAACGACAACTGCTTTATCATGCATTAAGGAAAGTTTTTCAGAGTCCAACCGGGGTGGACTATGAGGTACATGTTCAACTGATAATTCTTTAGTCCTCTTCTCACCTTGTTCAACAATTGTTGATGAAACTTTCTTTGATGCTCGAGAAGATTGTACCTGTTCTTTCAATGCACCATCAACTATTCCTGAATTTCTCGAGAGCGGTTGATCATTTGCACGACTCTCGCCATGGGAAACATTTTTCTTTTTTGAATCTGGCAGGCGAGGAACAACAGGAACCTTTTGGGTAGATCCTCCATGAATTGGAGTTTTAGGCAATTCATCATCATCGTCATCACATAGGCGGACAGCTCTTCGCTTTGTTGGCTGTGTTACCGGGGATCGAATTTTGTTAGGATGTACTAAGCCATTTTTACGTGATGCAGTTCCCAATCTATTTTCAGAAATCAAGGTGGAACTAGAAATCCCGCCCGGTGCTCGGCTGGGGCGCTTCATTGGAGGGAGATCATCTTCATCTGTAGAATCTCTGGATTCGTGGGTATTTGTCTGCACCTTCAACTGCCGGTGATTCTCAGCCTTCCCACCTGATGTTAAATTTTTAGACTCTACTCTATCCATTTTGTCATCCAGATCTACAGGACTTCTAGACTCACTCTTTCTGCTAGTTTGAGCTCTTAGAATGCTAGCATCATCTGCATTATCAGCACCTTTTGGCATCTTTGGCAACGAGGCTTCATCTCTTCGAGAAGTTTGTTTTTGGTGATCATGTCGGATCTTCATCTTTTTCCTCGAGATAATTTCACTATGCTCCTCAGCCATTATTTCACTGTCCCCTTGAATATCATCTACTGCCTCAGAAGGCTTTTTCTCTTTCAGCAATTTTTTCCCCTTCCTTTCACTGCCAATACTTGCACCTGATTTTGAATTATCTGCAGATGACAATTTTATGTTGCCACCTAAAACATATGGTTTTTGCCCCCCATCACCAATATATTTAGGAGACTTAATTGAACCAATATCCCTGTGCATTGTACCCTCATGCTTCCTCTTTGTCCCCGTTACCAGCTTTGGTTGGTGTCCATTTGTCAATTCACCCTGGCCGGCATCAGGGTGCCTTTCCTTAACTTTGACACCACGGGAACCTTCCTCCTTGACAAAAGCCTGCTTGGACGGACTAGATCTTAATTCCGCTCCCTTCATTTGATTACTAGGATTTGTAGAAAGTTTGTTCTTCTTTCCCGAAGATAAATGTGGAGACAAGCCATGATTCATGACATCTGACAAGCAAGGTTTTACATCTTGACATTCCATCTCATCTTGTCTCTGTGAAGAATGCTCTAACTCAGAGCCCTGATCCGTCAACCCTTTGACCTCCAATTTGCAGCTTGGTCCTTCATTATCTATCCCATTGTTTATACTAACCTCTAAAGCTTCATCTACCAATGGATCAACTGAATGTGTCTCAGATGCAAGATTTTGTGCATTGTTATCATCTCTTACACCGCCTAAATTTTTACGCTGTAACACTTCGAATTCTTCACAGATTTCCTTCACAGCTTTGGCAAAGAACCTCACTGTCTTACCTTGGCAACGAGTAGTCAACTTGTTTTTGGATTCACTAGTAAATGCCTGGATATCCGCAGGGGCAACAAAAGCTCTGTTAAGAGAGAAAAAAATTAGATCATGTTAAACAAAAACTTTTCTTTCAGTTATAAATATTCTAACCCACAAATACAGCAGAGCTATTTCTCTCAAGTATTATGCCAATAGCACAATCAATGTAATAATTTCATATCTGAATTACTAAGTAAGGAGCAAACATCATGTCAATATACAACACTGGAACAAATACAAATCAGTCTCCGAAAAAAATAAATTACCAATAACAGCCACCTTCTGAAAGCACCTGCAGCTCATCGTCATTAAGAGGAAGGTAAATATGAACTCTAATAATATTAACTGCTCTATATGATCCATTTTCAAATAACTCTCAGAAATATCAAACAATGCACCCGTGTTGGTGGACGAGAGTGATAAAAAATTACTTGTTGAAGCATCCAGACATGCAAACAAAGCCCAAAATTACAGTGCGCATGAACACTTGTAGATCAAAACATATAACTAACATCAAGACGGCAGTGGAAACCTTCGGTGATTTATACTTATCAGCACGAAAAGACTCCTTCATAGCATAACAAATATACTGAATTAACTAGTAAGACATCTTCCCATTAGCTTACAGATGATGCTCTCAAATGTATCAAAATCAGACACCTATCTTTTTATATCCACTTAAAGGCCAATCATGTCACGGTATATTTTACAAAGAAGGATTATTTTACTAGTATAGGCATCAAAAGCATTTAACAAAACACAAAAACAACAGAAAATAACTGAATGATGACCAACTAAATGTGGAAATTTAAAAATATCTTTTCTGCCCAAAGCTTAATCCTTTCTATGTGTTTCTTTTTGCTCTAAGTCTCTTTAAATCCCCTGCTTATCCGTTTACCTACTAAGCATATAACTATTACTATATAAAAATATGTTCAGATATCAGTTAAAACCCATATATCAGCCAACCTATGCCATACTCAATTACTGAAAATTTTGATCACAGAAAATATGCTGAAGGTCCTTACATCATACCACTGGCCACTCCCATAAAAAAAAAAGAAGCAATTCTAATACATAGCTGAAGGCCCTGAGCCCCTTAATTCATACCACTTGCCACTTCCATCAACAAAGCAAGTCTACCACACAGAAGACGACCAGACGGTCAAAAATATAATATCAGTATCTTTAAATGAAAAATATTATTACTTCTCAAGTAATAGTAGTTTTACTCATGGTCCTTAGTAGGCAAAAGAGAATACTCTATCTTTGTAATCATCTCAGCAATCAAGACCTTCCAGGACATGCAAGGGAAAAAAATTAAACAAAAAAGTGCTTACATCTCTGCTGTACCGAAAAACTGGACGAAGTACTTTTTAGGATCAGGACTGCGCTCCCAATCTTCAGGTCTGCCAATCTAGAAGTAAGAAAATACAAAGTTAACCAAGCAACAAATAACTGATATTTGAAAATAACACAAATGTAAAAGATCCATCATACTAGAATCAGCGTAGTACAGATGACTAATGCTGATGTAAGCAAATTACAGAAGAGCATAAAAATGGGATGCAGAATGCTAACCAGTAATACAAGGATAAATGTCATGAATATATAATGGTTTGTTTATTTTCAAAATCATGCAGGAAATTCAATGATTTGCAATATAGATTTCAAAATCTGAAGCTACTGCATACAACAGAAAGAAACCATGAATCGAGAAAATCATATGCGTGGAAGGCAAATCATAAATGTTCAGAAAAAACATACGTGCTGAAGACTGATCATAAATGTGCAGGGAACGGATGACACGTGCCTAGAAATAGTCGCGATTGTGCAAAAGTACATAAACAATTGCTCATGGCAGCGTCAATGGACATAAATGCATAAACGATCACACCTAATTAACTACAGACAAGATTTCACACCACGTGTCCGTCTAAACCCTAATTCTAATGTCTCCATTGTCGCCTTTCTCCAATCCACACCCCCAAAGTTACTTCAACAAGTGCATCTTTTACCCCCATATATCCACACCCACATACCCAAAGCACCGACTTTTTGCCCCTTGTCTTACAGTCAAGAGCACAATTCTAAGATTCCTACAGCATAACCTACTTTCATAGGGTTAATTTCAATCAAAACCCAATAACTCAAGGCGACAACACAAAAATCGATAGACCTTCAGTAAATGCAAGCCAAACAAATCCCCATCCCAAACAAAAAAACCAGAAACGAAAAAAAAAATCCGACAAGATAAAATTCTTTTAACAACATAGAATTCATCAAAACTGAGCGATAAAAAGAATGAAATAAGAGAATCAGAATAAAAAAAAAAATTGAAGTGAATCAGAATGTACCTTGGCGGGCCAAGCAGGAAAACCCTTGACCTTGGCGAGAACGAGATCCCCCAAACTCAACTCGCTCTTCGTTTTCACCCCTTTCGCTCCACGCTTCCGCCCCGGAGCCATGCCCTCCGAAAAAAAATAAAAAATCACCAGTCTTTTCTGCGCTCGTGCGAAACCGACAAATGAGATGTAATTCGCAAATTAACAACCCTAGATGACAAAATTTACTGCGCCACCAAAACGGCGTCGGATTCCGGTTCTCCGCTGGGCAGTTCCTCCGTCGATCACATAAGAGAATATTTGTAAGCAACAGCTGAATAATTAAATGAATAGTTATGGTGGTGGTGGTGATGGATGAGAGAGAAGAGAAATATATACACACAGCAAGTACGAGGGATACACAATTATATACATACAGGGGTATATATATGTATATATATGTACATACATACATGTGTATAGATACGTTTGTAAATTATAATTGGAGAAAAAAAAGTCAGACAAGAGACCCTTTGCGCTCGTGTTTTTATCTTGATTTTTTTTTTTTTACGTTATTTCATAAAAAAAAAATTGCGCTTTTCTAAAAAATAAAAAGGTAAATTACGAAAATGCCATGAACTTATATTAAATAAAAAAAAACACTCTCACATATTCGTAATTACTAAAAACCCTCGGAAGTTTGTTTTCGTCTTACACCAACCACTCAGAGTGTCACTTTTCACTGATTTTTTATTTATTTCGGGGGAATAGACATTACACAATTTTAGATATTTTCTTTTATTTTTCACCTATTTAAATTAAGGTATAATAGATTATACACATTTTTTTTCTTTTAAAAAAATTCGATCAACAATTAATCAGATGGAGATTTTGGTTATTACGGATAGGTAGGGTATTTTTCGTTATTTAGCCTAAGTTCAGTGGGATTTTTGTAATTACCCAAAATAAAATAAAGAAAAATAAAAGCTTGTTATACCCATGTACCAATCGAAACTGTAAAACTCCATCACGGTATTGACGCGGCCGACACATTCGCCGGTATCAGTATACATATATCGACGTATTTTACTATGAATAAGATTTGTTGATTTGGGTTCGAGGCGCATTCTTATTATTTAAAATAAATAGAAATTACTCGTATTGTGTAAGTAAAATAATACTAAACTCTTTATTACGTCTCTCGTATAGTTTGCAAGCTATTATACGAGAGTATATGTTTATTCAGTGCATCTTATATAGTTGATTGCGGATTTCTTCGTTATCCAAAAAACATTAAGCTTTTCAATCTTATTCCTAAAGTTGTCAACCAAACAATTTCAATAATATATTGTTGTTTAAGGATATATTTAAGAGGAGTTTGTGATTATGATTTATGATTGGTCCATTTGATTTGGTACTAATGTAATTGATGAATGTGATTTGTAATAAACACATTTGATTTGAGTAATGATACTAAAGTTGAGATGAATATAATGTTATTTTTTTGCAACCCATGTTATAAAGGTGCACATATATAGTCACAATGAGAGACCGTTGGATCAATAATTCAACGGTGGAGTTATATGTTGCAAGAAATGTATGTAATTCAGGTTAAATTCATTAAAAGCAATTTACTAATGTTTGACTATGTTGAACTTTAAATGTGTCTAATATGATGAGCATTTAATAAGTGGGGATATAAATGTATTTTTCCTTCAATACTTTTTGGTAATAAAAGTTTGCAACTAGTCGTATAAATGTAATAAGTAAACCTTTACTGTTGTGCAATAACCCGTAAACTCTTAATTTTATTATAGTATGTTAAAGCTAGTAATTTGGCATGTGCTATAATACACTGGAATTAACAGAAAGTAATGCAAAATAAATCAATTTATTTAGGAATTCATGTCTTCGAAATAAAGTCAACAAATTGAAAAAACATAACAATCGGCTAAAAAGTAGAAATAAGAATATATTGAACATTTTAATGGAAAATCTAATAAAATGATTGTTTTGCATGATTTTCACTTGTCAAATCTTTGAGTTTTGATCTTCGTTTATCTGAGTTTTCAATTTTATTTGTGTATATTATGTTTTTCTTATTTTATTTCTGTTTTAAGTAAATAGAAGCTATATTTGCTATTTGCTGATATTGTTACTAATTATCAGAGGAACAATTTGGCCATTTACTTGTGTGTTTTTTTTCCCTTCTAATTTTGAATTTAATTGACTTTTTAATTTAGGCATTTACTTGTTTTTTTTTTTCTTCTAATTTTGAATTTGATTCTGACTTTTCACTTTGTTATGCCTGGGTGTCGAGATTTGGAAATCATACCCTAGGATCCCGAGATTGAAAAGACTTTTCGAAGTAGACGAGCCACGTGCAGCAACAGAGTGAACAAAATGGCAAATGAGCCAGAAAATCTCGAGCTACTCGCCTATGAGTACGAAAGGGAGCGAGAGCAAGAGCAAGAGCAACAGAGAGCGAACCCGCCACCTGAACAAACGATGAGGGAATACCAAACTCCAGCAGCGAACGAGAACTATTCGAGAATCAAAAAACCGACTATTGCATCGAATGCTATCTAAAAAGGCTGCAGTTTCGTAGTTCCGAATGGTGGATGAAATTTGCACAGGGAAGTTTGGATGTATTCAAATATATCAAATTTTGGCGATGCCACAGAAAAATCCACGAGCACGAAGATGAACCGGAAGAAATCAGAAGCCGAGAAAACGGTAATTCAAACAGCTATGAATCCGACCAGTTTGGTGCCGAACTTGTTCATCACCTTTCTTTAGTACGCAATAAACGTTGTCTCACTGCTTATGTGCAAGTAATTAGAGCACTCCAATTGTCTTTTCTTTTTAACATTTACGAAAAAACTAAAATTTTCGAATTTATATATAGATATAATCGAGCGGAAGTAGTTAGGAGCTTGGGGTGGATTGTTGACAGTGTTCTCCCTGAAGAAATTGATGAGAAACGACTGAGCAGCAGTGAGAAAGAATATTTCAAGAATCACATTGCAACTTTACAATCGTAGATGTCGGAGCTTGATATTCATTTGATTGTGGTGAATGAATTACGAAAAAAACATTTACATTGCAATATTATCTAAGAACATAAGAGATATAATCTTTTATTTATTAAATCGACTTCATTTGATAGGGTACAGTTCTTTCGAAAGATTAGTACATAAAGGTGAGAGTTATAGAAGATATTGGTGAAGTAGCACTTAGTGATCAAGTTGCGGACAATGCCCACTTTCTTAGGCAACCGCGGTCAATCTCACGTCGTCGACTTCGTGAGAGATTTAGCTGAGGAAGATAGAGGAATCGAGATGCAAAAAAAAATATAGAATTTACCTTCCAATTGTCAAAATTAAATTTGAACACGAATTGGCACCGATGTGATGTTCGATTACTCAACCACCACACGTACGCCGCCATCCAGGGGCGTACACCAGTAAGAGACTAGGGTTGGCCCCCTGAAAAAAAAAATAACAATTTTTTATTATTTTATTATTTTAATGGGATAATTAGCAATACCCCCCTCATCTAGGTAAATGAGTTAAGAAAAACCCCCCTCCCAAAAATAATTAGAGAAAACCCCCTTACCTAATATTCTACCCAAATATTATTTAATAATTCCCAAACCACCCTTTCTCACTCTTATCTCTTCTCTCTCTTTCTCTCTCTCTCTCTCCCCTCTTTCTCTCGCACACATAAACACACACACACACACACACACACAAATTAGTGAGAAATCTCAACAGGAGAAAGCTCAACAGGAGAGTAAGGAGGATTCTGCCGCCGCCGCCGCCGCCGCCGTCGTCTCCGCGCACGCGTCAGCTGGAGTGAGATTTCGAGGACGTGGGATCGGAGCGTGTTGGGGCTGTCGCGCGTGACGATAATTGGGGGCTTGGGCTTGTTCTTGGATCCCGGAGGACGACCGCGCGGGCGGCGGTTGGCGGAGGGAGTACCCCCGGAGCTGGTGGTAGCGGCGGCGTCGTCGTCCTTGGAATTAGCAGACGGCTCGTGATGAATTTCAAGACGAGAAGAAGGCAACGGCGGCGGCCTCTGCTGCAAGTGGAGGTCCGTCGGTGGTGTGAGAAGCTGATGAACGTAGCGAGAAGAATTACCACCGCCGCCGGAGCCTTGCTGATGTTCGTAACCCGCCATTTCTATACATCAATCTCTCTCTCTCTCTCTCTCTCTCTCTAACTTTCTCTCTCTAGCAAATAGAAATGAAAACGAACACAGAAAATTAAAGTAGTAATAAAGAATGAATATAATCAGTTATATTCTCTATTCTGGTGTTGCTTTTGGGATTAAGTTAATTTAGGATTGGGATTAAATTAAATTAAATTAGTTTTCTTAATTGGTGGAGCTGAACATGCTCAAAATATGACGGGTTCGGCCATGGCAGAAGCTCTGGGTGGTGTGGGGACGATGTGGAGGCCGATTTTGGGTTTATTTGTGGCTGAAACCTTAATCGACTATGTACATGTTCATAGTCGATTAAGCTAATCGACTATGTTTTGGTATTCGATTAAGGTTGATCGACTCCAGTTTTTTTTATTTTTTTTGGATTTCTTGTTTATTGTTTCAATTGTATAAATCATTTATAACGTTTGTATATTTTTTTTTCTTTCTAAAAAATAGTTGATTTTGCATTTTTTCGCAGTTGTAATTTGTTATGTTTAGTAGCAGATTTTTAATCGACTATGCTTCATCATAGTCGATTAATACCCCTGATATAGAAAAAAAAAATTAAAAAAACAAAAAAAAAATTAAATAATTAAATAATTTCCTTAATCGACTATGAAGCATAGTCGATTAAGGCTTAATCGACTATGCTTCATAGTCGATTAAGAAAAAAAACGGAAAAAAAAAAAAAAAAAAAAAAAAAATTGCTGAGCGTGACCCAGTGATGATGTGGCGGGTGGGGACAAAGCTGGAAAGCATAATGGCTGAAAATGGGTGTGGACTTTTCTCAAATGGAATAAAGTGGACTCGTGAGAGTCGGATGTCGATCCCACAGGGAATACGCAAATTACCTAATCCTAAGTACCAAATTCTAACAATTATGATTTTTATCCAGCCTGCGCAAGTTTGTCAAATTAAATCAATTAAACAACTAAACTAATTAAGAAAGCAAATAAACACGAGAAGATATCAATAAAAACGGACCTAGGATTTTATCTTCCCCCTATGCAAGAATTGCTCACCCAAAACCCCTCAATTATGAAATATATGATTCATGATTATTAACCCGAGACACTAATTTACTCATAACCCGCTGTCGCGTGTATTATGAGTCTATTATTCATAAACGATTCACTATATGTCTATGCAAACCAATTATGAATAAAGCATTAACTAACAAGTCTCGTAAATGGCTACCTAAGGTGATATCTGTATGTCTACGACACCACATGCAATTGACACACTCATCCGGTGAAAACTACTCGAAGGCTCTTCTACTTACCGTCTAATTATCAAAATAGCTCTGTCGAGTCAATCCCAATAATCACAGATAAAGCACATAAATTGATCAAGTTCATGCACTAACAATCATAACAAGTAGAAGAAATAATCATAAACTCATAATTGCATAATCTCAAGAAAACGGGTTCACCATCCCTACATAGGGTTCCGACAAAATCCTAGGTTAAAAACTTAGCTACTCGTAATTCTTATGATAAACAAAATAGAATAAATAAAATAAATAAGAAAAACTATGCTTGAGTCTTCGTTGATCTTCGTTCTTCGCGTTATGTGGTGTAAAATTTCGTGCTTATGGTGTAGAGACATGTTGCTTTTATAGGCTTTTCTTGATAAGGAAGTAGTAGAAACCTAATAGGAATCAATTTCCGCCACTTTCCCCCATCAGGACTTGTTCTTCGATTTTCGCCATGTTGGAGTCCGAATTTTGGAATATTTTGTAAATAAGAATTGTAGCCCTTGAAATTAGCTTTCCAATGCCGCCAAAATCACCTAATTCGGAGTTTGTATGAGAGAGATATGCTCGAAATCGTGGACACTGTCAAAGCTGTGGCGAGATTCCTTCTTCCAATTTGATTTGTTTCCTTATTTGCAACTTTTTCCTTTCTTTTTTCCTTCATTGACACCTAATTCTCGTTTTTCACCTATAAAACACAAAATCAATCAATTAAAGCACAAATATAATTAAATCTAAACAAAAGATCCACGTAAAGTAAATGTATTGAGTGTAAAATCTACACTCAACACACCCCCAAACTTGAACTTTTGCTTGTCCTCAAGCAATCTCTAATCGTAAGCAAATAACTCAACTACCGCATCTTATCACATAGATTAATGACCAACCTCATGTTTTCAGAACTTGTAATTATAATGAAAATTCATAGGCATTCGCAAGCTCAGAATTCAAAAGCACTTAGTCACTTACCATAGCAAAAAACCACAAATCATGCAATTGCTTCAAGCATGCAATATTTGTAAATTAAAGATAGAAAAAAGTTATGCTTACATGTATATGTTTGACTCCAAATACTCACCAAAATATTCTACTCTACTAATATCGAACATTAAGCTATTGGGATCATTGGGGCTTTTTGGCTTTCAATTGTTAGGCTTTTTGGTTCGAGGTAGGAAATATGGGTATATGTGGCTATTCTTCTTGAATTGAGGTGATTACGCCAAAATTTGAAATATAAGCGTTTGAAACAATGAAGTCACCTCTAAGGACTTTAATAAACTCGATTCTTAAGAGTTCAAAAGTCTCCACTTTTGCTCTTAAGACAATGGATCGAGCTTGCAAAACAATTCAACAACTAGTCCTTACTTCTCCCTTCTAGTCTCTTCTTGTTCTTTTTCTCTTTTTTTTTTTCTTTTTTTTTTCTTTTTTTTTTTTTTTTTTTTTATATATAGAAGCATATATATTTGTCTTTTTTTTTTCGAAGAAGAAGGACCTTATAAAATTTTTCGACCGAACTCCAAGGGTTAATTTTTCAAAAATCTCCACTTTTCTACCTTATACACTTTGGCTAAAAGAAAGAACACCTTTTCTCCGAGGCTCAAATCAAGGTTCTAATGATAATTTCGATAAAAAGGTCGGCTTGAAAGGCTCAAACGGTTCAAAGAAGGCCCAAATCATATCCCAAATCACTCACTACTCAATACTTTGTATTATAAATTTCCTAAGGTGAGGTCTAAAACCGAACATAGCATGATCTAACACAAATTAACTCCAAATTTAAAATACAAAACATTCAACCAAAGCAATGCACAAAGTGTGATTCCTAGCAATAATTCGTTTTTAAGTTCCGTTGAATCGAAAGCTAAACAAACATCTAATCCTTAGCACAACAAAACAAGCAATTTCATCATTAAACATTGATCATCTCTCATCATCATAACTCATCGATGCGTTCGACTCAAGCAAAAGTTTTTTTTTTTTTTTTTTTTTTTTTTTTTAAGAAAACAATAAATAAACGAAAAAAATAAGATAAAATCCTAAGGCATGCAAACTAAAAAATTAAAGCACATAAAAAACAAGTAATTTTCCACCCCCAAACTTAAAATTTACATTGTCCTCAATGCAATTAGAACAAAGTTCAAGGATAGAATACACCTGATTAGTCGAAAGGTCCTTCTCCGGGATGCACTCTTTGCTGTTCGTTTAATCCACATTTAACGTCCAATCCCTTAGTGTTTGACTTTCGACCTAAAAATTAAAACAAGATTAAATTATTAGTTTGCGCATGCTAAAATCCTAAGAAAAATAAAAATAAATAAAAATACGAAAATCGATAAATGCTTGGGTTGCCTCCCGAGAAGCGCTAAGTTTTAAGTCTTCAGCCAGACTTTGCTTCTTAAAACTGTTATGTCCAATCCAAAGCCTTGTAGATTGCGCATCCATCCATGAGCTCTATCACTTCAATTGCAACCAAGGCATGGATAGCATTGCAATATATCAGGATCCACCTGAGCTTGTAGTCTTTCTTGGTTGTAATCAATCGGTACGAAGCTAAGATGGGATCTTCATCACCCGCTCCCTCAAATCGGTACACAAAAACCTCACGTCCGCGTATAACCTCCACTTCAAACACATTCGTCTTCTCATCAACCTCTATTGATGCCTTCAAATCTACATTTAGATCAACGACAGGGTCCACAACTAGAATATCTTCAATCATTACATCCATCTCATTCTTCTCTTGTTTTGAGACATCTTCGTGGTTTAGCTCGATTGCCTTCTCAGATTCATCATGCTCAAGTGTCTTCGTAATTTCTATTTCTCTCATATCGACACTATTTTCTGGACATGGAAGATTTTTCTCACCGCATGCTTCACCCGAATTTTCTTTGATATAACCATTACCGATTTCGTCTGGAATATTTTCAAGAGATTCAGATTTTAATTTGAGCGTCATCTCTTCCAGTTGTATCTCCATGTTTTGAAATGATGCTTGAGTGGACTTCATGAATTCGACAATGAGGGATACCAAATCAACTTGTTCATCAGTGGTCTGCTGCTGCTGCATTGGATAATAATTTTGAAAATCATCAAATTGTGGCTCTCTATGTTGAAACTCGTTCAAATCTTGATCTTGAAAGCTTTGCTCGTATAAGTTGTGGGTGTAAGTGTTCCGATAACCTCCGTTGGTAATTTCGTCGAAATTCGTCGCTGTTGGTGATACCCAACATTGATCGGAATAATGATTTCCACCACATGCTGAACAAAACGGAGGCATATCATAGGTGTTTTGGAGGTATTCGTCAGATGTAAGCCATTCATATCCCGTTTGAGGTGCCCGAACATTGTAACCAGACATGAAACAAAAACAACAAAAAATAAAAATTAAAAATAAAAATAAAAAAAAAATTAAATGGCTTAAGTAAGAAAAATTGCTCAAATTTGATATTAGAATAAATAGATAATTTAGCCGTATTCCCCGGCAACGGCGCCAAAAACTTGTTGGGTGCTAAATACCAACACGCAAGTGCACGTATCGCAAACAAGTAATAAAGTGGACTCGTGAGAGTCGGATGTCGATCCCACAGGGAATACGCAAATTACCTAATCCTAAGTACCAAATTCTAACAATTATGATTTTTATCCAGCCTGCGCAAGTTTGTCAAATTAAATCAATTAAACAACTAAACTAATTAAGAAAGCAAATAAACACGAGAAGATATCAATAAAAACGGACCTAGGATTTTATCTTCCCCCTATGCAAGAATTGCTCACCCAAAACCCCTCAATTATGAAATATATGATTCATGATTATTAACCCGAGACACTAATTTACTCATAACCCGCTGTCGCGTGTATTATGAGTCTATTATTCATAAACGATTCACTATATGTCTATGCAAACCAATTATGAATAAAGCATTAACTAACAAGTCTCGTAAATGGCTACCTAAGGTGATATCTGTATGTCTACGACACCACATGCAATTGACACACTCATCCGGTGAAAACTACTCGAAGGCTCTTCTACTTACCGTCTAATTATCAAAATAGCTCTGTCGAGTCAATCCCAATAATCACAGATAAAGCACATAAATTGATCAAGTTCATGCACTAACAATCATAACAAGTAGAAGAAATAATCATAAACTCATAATTGCATAATCTCAAGAAAACGGGTTCACCATCCCTACATAGGGTTCCGACAAAATCCTAGGTTAAAAACTTAGCTACTCGTAATTCTTATGATAAACAAAATAGAATAAATAAAATAAATAAGAAAAACTATGCTTGAGTCTTCGTTGATCTTCGTTCTTCGCGTTATGTGGTGTAAAATTTCGTGCTTATGGTGTAGAGACATGTTGCTTTTATAGGCTTTTCTTGATAAGGAAGTAGTAGAAACCTAATAGGAATCAATTTCCGCCACTTTCCCCCATCAGGACTTGTTCTTCGATTTTCGCCATGTTGGAGTCCGAATTTTGGAATATTTTGTAAATAAGAATTGTAGCCCTTGAAATTAGCTTTCCAATGCCGCCAAAATCACCTAATTCGGAGTTCGTATGAGAGAGATATGCTCGAAATCGTGGACACTGTCAAAGCTGTGGCGAGATTCCTTCTTCCAATTTGATTTGTTTCCTTATTTGCAACTTTTTCCTTTCTTTTTTCCTTCATTGACACCTAATTCTCGTTTTTCACCTATAAAACACAAAATCAATCAATTAAAGCACAAATATAATTAAATCTAAACAAAAGATCCACGTAAAGTAAACGTATTGAGTGTAAAATCTACACTCAACAAAGATCAAACCCCACATTTTGTATAATTACAATCATTAATCAACTAAACATTTTGTATAATTACAACTATTAATCAACTAAGTATTGTCATACATGTTATTCTTACATTATCAATTACCTACTGAACGAGGCATATTTTCGTATAAAAATACATAGTTAATGATTAGTTATAATTATCCAAACAAGGACTTTTTCGTAATTTGACTTTATCTGAGCTCACGCAATTTGCCTCCAGATATAAGGTTTTAGCAAAAAAGAAGCTCACTTTCTGCTCACCAAATCAAACCAATCTACAAACTCATGCACGCCAAGAAATATACTCCAACACGTATTAATTCCTTCCCCCCTCCATTATCACACACACACACACACATCAAATTCCCATTTATTGAACTACTCCAATAATTCCTTACCTTCATTCCAATATCATGAATTCTTCTTCTTCTCCGTCTTCCTTGGATACGACATATCGGGCTCATAATAAAGCCCGACTTGCCGATTTCTTATCGGAAATTCAAATGCTGGAGCTTCTCGTGGCGGCCGTGGTCTTCGTCGTGATCAACTCACTCCGGCAGAAGAAGCGCCGCGGCCTCCCGAACTGGCCCTTGGTCGGAATGCTGCCGTCGCTAGTTTTCGGGATCAAGGAGAATATATACGAGTGGCTGACGGAGATTCTCCAGGGGCAAAATGGTACTTTCACATTCAGAGGCCCTTGGTTCACCAACCTCAACTGCGTCGTCACATCAGACCCTAGAAACCTCGAGTACCTTCTGAAGACGAATTTCCCCAATTTCCCCAAGGGCGCCTATTTTCGCGGCGCCGTTTCCGATCTCCTCGGCGACGGAATCTTCGGCGCCGACGGCGATGTGTGGCGGCGCCAGAGGAAGACGGCGAGCCTGGAGTTCCACTCGGCGAAGTTCCGCCGGATGACCGCCGATTCGCTCGTCGATTTGGTCCACGCGCGCCTTCTCCTCGTTCTGGAAGATTCGATTAGGGCAAAATCGAGTATTGATTTGCAGGAGATTCTGCTCCGGCTGACGTTCGACAACGTCTGCACGATCGCGTTCGGGGTGGATCCGGGGTGCCTGAGCTCCGGCCTGCCGGAGATTCCGTTCGCCCGGGCGTTTGAGGACGCGACGGAGGCGACGATCGCGCGGTTCGTCACGCCGACGCTCGTGTGGAAGGCGATGAGGTTTTTCGGGATCGGGAGCGAAGGTGTGCTGAGGAAGTCGATTACGGAGGTCGACGATTTCGCGAGGGAGGTTATTCGGGCCAGGAAAATGGAGCTTTCGTCGGGTCGCGGCCCGGAGAAGATAGGGTCGGATCTTCTGACGGTGTTTATGAGGCTGAGTAGTGGGGAGGAGGAGGGGTTTTCGGAGAAGCTACTGAGGGATGTCTGCGTGAATTTTATCCTGGCGGGGAGGGATACTTCGTCGGTGGCGCTCAGCTGGTTTTTCTGGCTGCTGAGTGGGAATGCGGCGGTGGAGGAGAAGATTGTGGAGGAGATTTATCGGATAGTGAGGGAGAGAGAAGAGGGCGGCGGCGGCGGTGAGTTTATTTTCAGGGCGGAGGAGGTGAAGAAGATGGAGTACTTGCACGCCGCCGTGTCGGAGGCTCTCAGGTTGTACCCTTCGGTTCCGGTTGATCATAAGGAGGTACGTACACTATATATTATTACTTTATTGCATGGATTTTTTTTTTTTTCTTTTTTAAACTTCACAAAAAATGTATTTTTTGTATTGGAAATTTTTATTTATTTTTAAAATGTTATATACTTTCTTCTAAATTATATAATTATATTATATGTACAATTTGATATATGTTGCACTAAATTTGATATTCGATAAATTAACCTCTCTTAAATAATATTTTCTTTCGGTTCGGACTCAATGAGAAATGAGAACGTGTTAAATTATTATCTCGATAGTTTAATAATTCACTAAATAAATAGTGTTTCTTTTTTTTTTTAATTAATGTTGTGAATTAAGTTAATAATAAGTGTCTATTTTTAAAATTTGGGGTGTTTGCAAATTATATGAAAAATCAATTTCCATCAACTTATTTTAAGAGAAGTTGATCCAATGGTGTTTTTTTTGCGTCTTAGCTTAAAGTTGCTTATTTTAGAGTAGTAGAAGCAAAAATTGATAATACAAACACTTTAAATTAATTATGAGCCTAAAAAAACTGAGAATCACTTTTCAAAATTTTTTGCAATCACCACCTTAAGGTTTTTAATAATCTAAAGTTTGGAATATAATATAAAATTAATAAATATTTATTGATTTTAGAAAAGGAAAAAAAAAAATCACACTTCAACTAATTCACTTTTTATTAATTATCCTCTCCACTTATGAGAATTGTGTTTACATGAAGTTACGAGGTTTTGGGTTTTGAGATAATTACATCTATTAATGTAATAGGATTAATTAGGTCAACTACACAATTAATTATTGTGATTGTCTTGACCTTGGAGTTTTTGGGACTTTCTACACTTTATTTGACTTCTAAAGAGAGCAATTTACAATGAATGTATATACAACCATATTAATTATTGCTATTTTAATTAGACATCAACCAACTAATTAATTAAAACAATAATTATAAATTTAATATTTTTCCATGATGGATGATATATTTACACATATGAATAGGTACTAGAGGACGACGAATTCCCCGACGGAACAAAGCTAAAGAAAGGAACGAAAGTGGTGTACGCAATCTACGCCATGGGGAGGACGGAGAGTATATGGGGCGAAGACTACCGAGAGTTCAAGCCCGAACGGTGGCTGCGGGACGGCCGGTTCATGAGCGAGTCCGCTTACAAGTTCACCGCGTTCAATGGCGGGCCCCGCCTCTGCTTGGGGAAAGATTTTGCCTACTACCAAATGAAGTTCGTCGCCGCCTCCATTTTGTACCGGTACAGGGTGGTGGTGGACGAGAACCACCCGGTGGTCCCGAAAATGGCCCTCACGATGTACATGAAGTACGGACTGAAAGTTGTGATTCGAAGACGCAATCCTTTAGAAATTGAAAAATTTCTCAAATTGCAATCTTGATATAGTAGATTAAATGTTTTTTTTTTTTTTTTTTTGAAATTTGTGTTACATGTGAAAATAGATTGGATTTAATGGTTTGATTTATGATGCAAGTAATTAGTTATTACCACTATGTTTTTATTAAGGTTTGTTATACAATAAATATTAATGAGATTTGAAGTTTGAGTAAGTGGAAGCCATGTTTAGTGTAGTTGGATTTGACTTGTTGAACAATAATACTTGAGCCATTTAGAATTTAACTAAATTTATTTCAATTAACCCAAAAATTCTTACATCTAATGAGTTAATTTAAGAGTTGATAAATTATTACGTCTTATTTTTAAAATTAGTTTATGAAATGTTCGGATAATAAATTTATAAGTTGATTTTACTGTTTCTAAGATCTTAAATAAAAAAGTGGATTATAAACACTTTTAAAAAAATCTTATGATCTCTCTCAGCATCTTTTTTTCTTTTAATATTTTTGAGAAAAAAAACCCGAAAATTTTGGAAGAATTTATAAACCCTCAAACATCTTATATGCCTTATAATATGGTTTTAACAACTAATTATGTATGATTTCCTATAAAACTGAATAAATGAAATAAATAGATATTGATAAAAATCAGTGTATAGCAAAGTGCCCCTTGTTCTAATTATATAAAATCTGGTAAGAACCATCCTGATCGAAACCAAAATCAAAATTTATATATGGCAAAGGGAAGTGAATCAATAGTAGCAAACAATAAACAAATTAGTTTTATATAACCAATCATTGAACCACAACAAAATCAACTAAATCTTATAATCCCCCATACTATGAGATAAAATTTCACACAAAAAATAATAAACAAATTATATAAGGTCAAATTACGAGAAAAAAAAACCCTCATATTTGCATAATTATAACCATCTCTCAATGCATTGTTTTCTGAAAAAACCCCTCTTTCAGTAGGTAAACTTAACACTTTGAAACTAGTCAATAAAACAACACGTAGTCGAAAGATGATTGTAATTATCCAAATAAAAAATAATTTTTTTTTAACTTTACCTTATCTCAGAGGTGACCGTAATTTGCCGATTGAAAAATACACTGCATGCACTAGATTCTAACACGATGATTCCTCTCAAGAAATCCCTCAAAAACCACCCTTCTCTTATCCTCCGGCGAATCAATAATTTCGGCATTTTTTGAAACAATTTTCCTTCGATCGAACTCGTAGAATCCATTACGATATTCCGCCCTAAAACGAGGGACGAAATAAAGCCACAAAGCCGCGCAGATAACGGCGCACAACTTACCCCAAATCAGCATCACTACCAATGTCACAGAAACAATCAACGCCCCAACCATCGAGTGTATTTCATCGCCGCCGCCACCGCCGCCGATCCGGATTTCAAAGTCCTTTTTATCATTGACTCGTCGCTTGATCGAGCCGACGGCATGAGGCGGCGCCGATTGGTTGATTATCGGAACAGGCGCCGTAGATCTGCTGATGTATTTAACGGAGGCGGATGACTTTTCGGCGGCGTTGGTGTTTTTGTCTGTACTACTGTTCAACTCCTCCTCCACCTCCGCCTCCAGCGGCGGTTGTTGGGAGCATCCGAAACAAGAGTTGAAGAAGAAGGTGAAGAAGCTTAGTATGAATTCCTTGCTACTCATTCTTCTTCCCTTTCTGCTACGACGATTGGCAGCCATTGGAGGAGAGATACGAGGAGCTGCTTTTTTTATTTGGTCCAACACATTTGTGTGTGTGTGTGTGTGTGTTTTTTATTCTTACTTTCTCATTGGTGGAATTGCACTTGAAAGTGTCTTGCAATCTTTGTGGGATGCATGTATGTTAATATATATATATATATATATATATATATATATATATATATATATATATATATATATATATATATATATATATATATATATATATATATATATATATATATATATATATATATATATATATATATATATATACATATATATATATATATATATATATACATATATATATTATTATTATTATTATTATTATTATTATTATTATTATTATTATTATTATTATTATTATTATTATTATTATTATTATTATTATTATTATTATTATTATTATTATTATTATTATTATTATTATTATTATTATTGTTATTATTATTGTTATTATTATTGTTATTATTATTGTTATTATTATTGTTATTGTTATTATTGTTATTATTGTTATTATTGTTATTATTATTGTTATTGTTATTGTTATTGTTATTGTTAGTGTTAGTGTTAGTGTTATTGTTATT